GCCTGTGAGGTGCAGGAGCATGGGATCTCCCGCAAGCTCATGCCACAGTACTTTGGGCCATGGGAGGTTCTAGATATTGTCGGTAATGATCCGGATGGGCNATGGGATCTCCCGCAAGCTCATGCCACAGTACTTTGGGCCATGGGAGGTTCTAGATATTGTCGGTAATGATCCGGATGGGCCATTGTATGTAATATGGATCCCTGGTCACCTTCGCACCTACCCTGTCTTTCAAGCCTCCAAGCTCGCACCTTTCAAGGAAAATGATCAGTTTGCCTCTCGTCGCTCAATGCTGCCCCCAACCATGGATGGAGAGGTCGACATCGATGACATCGTGGAACACAGAGAAATGCCAGTTCCAAGACCAACAGGCATAGGACGTCCTCCTAAGCCGAAGCTGCAATATCGTGTTCGGTTCAAACATCACACTGATCCTTGGCAACTGCGACGTGGATGGACGCCGTGTGAATGATCAATCAAATCTGTGTTCTCCATAAGGCCCTTTGTGATGTCTGTCTGCAATCAATCACTACTATGGTCCCTCCGTCGCCCCCAGTGATTGCACTTTTGGGCGATCGAAAAGAGGACAGATGGTTTGCCCGGGAAGAACTGATGCACACCGCTCCAAAGGTTATCGCTCAGTATGAGAAGTCAGTGCAGAAAGGAAAGCGCCAGATTGAGTGATTGAACTTCTCAAAGGACTGTCGAAGTATGGAGGAGGGAATGCGAGGCTCAAGGCCTTGATGAGCCCTACTAGGCCCTGTTTTCAGCAAATATCAGCCGCCCTAAGTGGAGGAAGGCCTGACAGGGGCCGAGAGGCCTATTTGGGGCTTTCCACGCAACTCGAAAATTCAGGCAGTTGGCTGAGAGAGCCCAGGCCCTGCCTGCCTTTTTCCAAATGTATTTGAGGCAGGCCCTGGGCTAGACACGGGGCATGGGCTGCACACAGGCCGCTGGCAGTTGGACACGGCTAACCACCCCAGGCCCTGTGTGAATGATCAATCAAATCTGTGTTGTCCATAAGACCCTTTGTGATGTCTGGCATCAATCACTACTATGATCCCTCCGTCGCCCCCAGTGTTTGCACTTTTGGGCGATCGAAAAGAGGACAGATGGTTTACCTGGGAAGAACTGATGCAGACCGCCCCAAAGGTTATCGCTCAGTATGAGAAGTCACTGCAGAAAGAAAAGTGCCAGATTGAGTGATTGAACTTCTCAGAGGACTGTCGAAGTATGGAGGAGGGAATGCGAGGCTCAAGGCCTCGATGAGCCCTACTAGGCCCTGTTTTCATCAAATATCAGCCGCCCTAAGTGGAGGAAGGCCTGACAGGGGCCGAGAGGCCTATTTTGGGCTTTCCACGCAACTCGGAAATTCAGGCAGTTGGTTGAGAGAGCCCAGGCCCTGCCTGCCTTTTTCCAAATGTATTTGAGGCAGGCCCTGGGCTAGACTCGAGGCATGGGCTGCACACAGGCCGCTGGCAGTTGGACACGGGTAACCACCCCAGGCCCTGTGCCTGATTCCCTTGGACCGGGCCTCAGCCACCTGGGGCCTGCCGGAAGCTTCTGGGCAGGGGCCCAGCACAGACAGGCATCACGCAGCAGGCAGGCCACTTCCATATAGGAAAGTGCCTGCCCCCGCATTCGACATTCGGCCCCTTGCTACATTCTGCCCAAGCGCTGCTGCGCTACTGGCAGGCAAGCGCCCACGTGCTCACGGGGGAGCAGAGTACACGCAGGCAGCCATAGCCGAGCTGGCCTATGAGGTGCAGGAGCATGGGATCTCCCGCAAGCTCATGCCACAGTACTTTGGGCCATGGGAGGTTCTAGATATTGTCGGTAATGATCCGGATGGGCCATTGTATGTAATACGGATCCCTGGTCACCTTCGCACCTACCCTGTCTTTCACGCCTCCAAGCTCGCACCTTTCAAGGAAAATGATCAGTTTGCCTCTCGTCGCTCAATGCTGCCCCCAACCATGGATGGAGAGGTCGATATCGACAACATCGTGGAACACAGAGAAATGCCAGTTCCAAGACCAACAGGCAGAGGACGTCCTCCTAAGCCGAAGCTGCAATATCGCGTTCGGTTCAAACATCACACTGATCCTTGGCAACTGCGACCTGGATGGACGCCGTGTGAATGATCAATCAAATCTGTGTTCTCCATAAGACCCTTTGTGATGTCTGGCATCAATCACTGCTATGGTCCCTCCCTCGCCCCCAGTGTTTGCACTTTTGGGTGATCAAAAAGAGGACAGATGGTTTGCCCGGGAAGCACTGATGCAGACCGCTCCAAAGGTTATCGCTCAGTATGAGAAGTCACTGCTGAAAGGAAAGCGCCAGATTGAGTGATTGAACTTCTCAGAGGACTGTCGAAGTATGGAGGGAATGCGAGGCTCAAGGCCTCCATGAGCCCTACTGGGCCCTGTTTTCAGCAAATATTGGCCACCTTAAGTGGAGGCAGGCCTGACAGGGGCCGAGAGGCCTATTTTGGGCTTTCCACGCAACTCGGAAATTCAGGCAGTTGGTTGAGAGAGCCCAGGCCCTGCCCTCCTTTTTCCAAATGTATTTGAAGCAGGGCGTGGGCTAGACACGGGGCATGGGCTGCACACAGGCCGCTGGCAGTTGAACACGGGTAACCACCCCAGGCCCTGTGCTTGATTTCCTTGGACCGGGGCTCAGCCACCTGGGGCCTGCCGGAAGCTTCTGGGCAGGGGCCCAGCGCAGCCAGGCATCACGCAGCAGGCAGGCCACTTCCATATAGGAAAGTGCCTGCCCCCGCATTCAGCATTCGGCCCCCTGCTACATTCTGCCCAAGCGCTGCTGCGCTACTGGCAGGCAAGCGGCCACGCGTTCACGGGCGAGCAGAGTACACGCAGGCAGCCGTAGCCGAGCTGGCCTGTGAGGTGGTGGATGGGGCGCATGGTGGTCCTTGGGTGCACGTGGCATTTGTGTGGGGGATCGAGGTTGTGAGTGACGCATGAGACATACCTGGTGCTTGAGGCGAACGGCATTGGCGGGATCGAGGTTGTGAGTGATGCATGAGACATACCTGGTGCTTGAGGCCAACAGCATTGGCCGAGATCTGCTCGTACTTCAGGGAGCATTCGTTCATTGTTGATGATGATGAGACTATTCCAACATTGTCATTTGTGGGCTTTTGCTGTGCTCTTATTTGGTGGAACTCGAGTTGCAATTCTGCTTTTGGTTCGAGGTGACGACTATCTGGTTTCGTGTGTATGATGCTGCTTGGTTTCTGGAATTCGCTATCACTCATTTTCCTTGCACGAATATGATTATGGATGAAACATTTTTTCATGAATACTATATGATTATAGATGAAGCATTTTTTCATAGTTGTTATTCACATTATATACAATAATAGAGTCGTAATTTATACACATATATCGTCATCTTCAACTTGCACAGAATTGATTAACATATAAAATGCTGTGTATTGTAACATGTACAATAGACAATACAATTAACCAATATGGTATATTTTGTGCAGGATATGATTACAGATGGAGCATTTTTTACCTTCTTCTGCTTCCTTCAGTCTGGCTTCAGCTTCCATTTTCCATCTGCCTAGGCAACTGAACTCGTGTTCTCTTCAGGCTCCCTGTAGCTCCTTGCACCTAATGACTTAAGTGGCCGGTGGAGTTCTAAAATGGCCTTTTAACTACAGCCTTCTCTGTGGGTAAATAAATCATGAAATGTTGTTTGATGCCAATATCAGGTGTCTTTTGTTCCCCACCCCCAGCTCCTACTGCCCCAATACCTTCCATTGCACTGCCGAACATGGACTTCTTTTCTTTTCCTCTTCTTTCGTATTGATAGATGAGGACAAGAGGTTCTCTTCTAGACGTAGTGCAGCTAACTGCTCATTTAATGCAGTTAAAGTGTCGATTCAGCATGCACAAGGTCAGAAAAGGTCTACTCACACTGATTGCAACTAATTAGGTGTCAAACCGGGTGCGTTCCACTGGGACTTAGTGCAACTCGAGTGTGGATTCAGCATGGATTGAGTGTGGATTATGCATGGATTTTGAAAGTGTGGATCACGCACGGATCAAACAGGGATTGGGTGCAAATTGAGTCCGCATTGATTGTGCACTGAGTCTGGATTGATGGAAGACCAAGTGTGGATTGCATGTGGACTGAGTATGCATCATTGATTGTCGATCACTTACAGATATGACTACCTGATTAGCAAGGGGTATTTTCATCAAGGGGTAACTTCAGTAGAGTCACAAAAACGAGTTATAATTGCATTAGGGGGCAAGATACAGTTTGCAATTGCACTCCGGGCACCCTACCTAGCCAGAAAGCTGAGTTGTATACATTGCCCGAACTGCAATTCCAAACTGTATCTTGGCCTCTAGTGCAATTATAACTCGTTTCTGCAACTCCCATGTAGTTTCCCCTTTCATCAATTGGTATAGCAGGGCTACGGTGGCAAGGGGTATTTTCATCAATTGGTATAGCAAGGCAAGGGGTAGTTTCATCGATATGGTATAGCAGGGTTAAGTTAAGACTCGTGACACCATGCAAATGTTGAAGGACAAGGCTTCACAAAAAGCACTGGATGGAAGGTATGATCCGGACAGCGAACGGTTGGCATATGATTGGTAGAGCATGGCAGACGGCTGAGCATGAGCAGTCGCCTCAAAACGATTGCCTAGGGGGCGGTTTTGAGGTCCACCAGGTGCCTAAGGAGACAGAGCCTCTGCCTAACCGAGGAACAGATGTTGTCCAGCAACCACAATGACCACGATCCTAGCAGTGCCATTAGGATTCCCATCATCATGGCTGTGACCTGCAGCACCACTCATTCCATGTCGGACACACTGACATGGAAATCAACCATCAAACGAAGCTTCTGCATGCGCCAAAGAAAGCCGAGATAGAAACGTGAGGATGACAAGATGAGTCACACACACAAGAACTGTGGCAGGGCAGCAGAAAAAAACAACAGTAAGGATAATAATTGGGCTTACATTATTGTGTCACGCCGATTTCTCCAGTAACGGGCGATGCTGTTCTTGAAGTACACAGCGGCAAGCCACCTGACACCATGCTGGCTATCCAGATCCCGAGCTGAGATAATCTCCTACAGGACCAAGGAACACAGGTCCCACCCGTATACGATAAGTGCCTCAAACAAGAGGGCTTGATTGCCCTTTGATACTGACTGTGGTTATGTTAGTTGTGGTCACTTCTCTCAAGTGGTTTAGTTCATATATTTATTCAATCTCATTTATGTCTGCGCACGTTAACGAACAACACCGTACATCACCGGCTGCGCTAGCGTGTGTGCAGAGAGTCGTACGTATCAGCCACATCAGCCACATCCATTCAGCCGAAGAGAAAGAGACCCAGAAATAACAGGGCAAGGGGGGACAGGAAGAGCAGAACAGACAAACGCACTGGAGAGAGATAAACAGACTGCAACAAGGAGAGAGAGAGAAAAAAAGAGCAGGAACAGAAAGGCACGCCTGAAGAGACAAACAGACTCCAATAAGAAGAGAGTCAGAGTGAGAGAGAAGCGAGGAGAAGATAGGGAGGTGAAGAGCAACGGGGGAGGCAGAAACAGGAGGGGAGAAGGAGAGAGAAAGAGAGTGATGCAGACAAGGACAGGAAGGAGGACCGCCATGAAATCCCGAAGTGACCATAGCCGTCTGTAGAGAGACCAACAAGGAGAAACCACAAGAAGCGCAGCGAAAAACAGAAGAGACAAAATAACTCGTGTATTAGCAGCGCACACGCGTTCCCCGGATACCATAACATATCTGGTGATCGACCTGTTCCTGGTTGCAACATATCCCTACCTCCTTGGAACCATATAATTATCCAAGATTAGTTAAAGCTTCGGTTTTCGCATCTCTGCACCCGTGACATGGAGTAAGAACAACCTCCCTCCACTCTCCTCTTTCCATCTCATCATCCTGGCGCTTGAATGCCCACAAAACTCAATGCACCTCTCTCTCTCTTTCTCTCTCTCTCTCTCTCTCTCTCTCTCTCTCTCTCTCTCTCTCTCACACACACACACACACACACACACACACACACACACACACACACACATCCCCGCGCAAATACGTGGGCGATTGCAGAAAAACACATCGCTCTCGAAGAGTACGCAGGCCTTCCGCCTTAGTCCCTGTTCCCCTCTTTCCAGCTAATTGTATATAATTCCCGGCGAGCGATTTCTTCGTCTATACACGTCTGAAGAGTCCCGACTATGGCACCAACGCCTGTCCGCGTTGGATGGGTGACACGAAATCAAACAGTCGTCGAAATCGGGACCAAAAGCAAGCCCTTAAAACCCTCCTCCGTGAACTGCCTCCCGATAACACAGCACCCACGGCAATAGATCATGAGCGCTCCACGTGCACGCGCGCCGCGCCACACACCCGATCCCCGCAAATACGCCAACTAAAGCCGACGCGACGGCGAGCAGAGGTCCAATTCCCGCACCCACTTCAAGTTGACCTTGTTCCTCCGCTAGCCAACAGTGTCTGAAATCTTACACCATCACATGCTTGAAATGCAACGCGACTTCATTAGCAGCTCAGCTCTGCCGTACCACCTTCAGCGATCTGACACGTCTGCTGCTTTCCGGAGTCCGCACCGCATCGTGGCCGTTGAAAACTCACCCCACTCTCTGTCCGCCACGCCATCCTGGCACATCATCCTGCGCAATGCAGCGTGGTGTCCTGCTAGGGGAATCCGACACCTCAACTACATTCCTACATCAACAAAATCAAGGGGTGGCCATCATCATTACTACTATCATCACCTAACCGGCACCCTTCTCATCATCATTATCAAAATCATAATCCTCGCATCACCCAAATCAACAAACGGAATCCAACCACGTCATCAAGACCAAATAGGACCTTCAGCATTCTACCCTGATGCATGACATTAAATCCTCCTAAGCGATCTGACCTGGTCTGTGAAAACTCACCCCACTCTCTGTCCGCCACGCCATCCTGGCACATCATCCTGCGCAATGCCGCGTGGTGTCCTGCTATAGGAATCCGACACCTCAACAACATTCCTACATCAACAAAATCAAGGGGTGGCCATCATCATTACTACTATCATCACCTAACCGGCACCCTTCTCATCATCATTATCAAAATCATAATCCTCGCATCACCCAAATCAACAAAYGGAATCCAACCACGTCATCAAGACCAAATAGGACCTTCAGCATCCTACCCTGATGCATGACATTAAATCCTCCTAAGCGATCTGACCAGTCGTCATGACGGATCTTGAAACGGACGACATGTTTAAAGGTGATGATGTCATCCTGGACCGGATCACATATTACCAGGTGATGATGTCACGAAAACCGAATGTGATGCGTCAATCGAGCGTCGGCTCTGTTCAAGATTCACTGCACCTGGGAAATGCCGCCCTGTCATCCACACTACCTCCAGAACGCCACTTCCCCTTCAGCACGATCCGCCAGTTTTGCTTTCCTGTAATGAAATTCGTCATAGACCTCCTCGCACCATTTCCCCAATAACATGTACATGACTTCTTCGCTGAATCTACTGACCCACCAGCGACCGCCTGATCCCGTAGCTCGTGCTGTCAGTCGAGTACCGTCGGAATCATCAACCCTTCGTTTACTACCCCCACAGCGCACCATCTGCCTCCCTCTCTCTCCCTTGGTCCTCCTGTCTTCGCCGCACCGTTCCCCATCCTCCTCAAAAAGTGGGTGCAGACAAACGCGAATACATAATCCAGGCAGCGGCAAGCCCCAGCCCCGCCCAGGAATCCGCTGCAGCCAACCAGCGATACACGGCGATCAGTCCTCTTCACCCGGAAAGATGAACCGGCAGATCAGCCCGACAACAGCGCATCTTCGCTCCCTTGCTACCTCCCGTTCACCCTCCGGCTTCCCTCCCATCTCGTGCTCTAGCTCCCCACTCGTGCTCTCGGGGTACTCCACCCACATGATCAGCGGATCGGTCAGACAGCAATCGCATTTGTACTCCCTTCCTCCCTCTCCTTCTCTGCTTCTGCAATCACATTTGCCCTCTTTTCCTCCCTCTCCTTCTCTTCTCCTCCCACAATTCTTTGCCCCCCTCTACTTCTCTCCGTCTCCCCCACTCGCGCATGCGGCACACCCGCATAAGAGCTTGGCAAGAAGCTATGTACCGGTAATGAGCACAATACGCGCCAAACAAGCGCACTCCTCAGGGCGCGAGCGATTCCTCATCTTAGAAGAATCCCGAGGGAGCTCAGGATACGTAAGCGCCTTCATCACACAAAATACGGTGCCCGCAATCACTCCGTGAATGAGTTCTTGCTACTCACTGAGGTTTTACAATCAGATCTCGCGGAACGATCAACCTGCTTCTCGATTCCGCGAGATATCCCAGTAATTCGCATCCATGGCCGCGACAACACGTGGCGCTGCCAGCTGGAATTATTAGACCAGGTATGCCCACGTGGAAAAGGGGCGCAGGGGACGCAGACGTCATACACAACTAGCAACATGGCTACCCTTCATGGTGCCCAACAGCCTTCGAAAAGCACGCGCTACCTCGCCTCGCATTGCCCCTTTTCTGTGGATAACCAGAAGGAGCAGCCCTTTACTGTGCGTAACCAGAAGCAGCAACGCAATAGGTCTCGACCTCTTGCACCCTGCCCTTTACGTCCTCTTTCTACAAAACACTGCCACCTCTTCTTTGTCGCAGTAGTTTCCTACCATCCACAGTTTCTGTCGAGGACTCTGCCATCCAGAAATTTTATCCTGGGCTCCGCCATCCACAAATTTTGTCCATCCAGAACTCTGCCATCCAAAACTCCGCGCCATTAAAGAAGAACAAAAGAGAAGGGCTGAGGGGAAGACCGAGGAAGAAAGAGATAATAGAACATTCGAGATAGAGGTAGCTACGAAGAGAAAGGGAGACAGCGAGGGATGGAGGGAGGGGTAGATGAGGAGAGAGAGAGTGGAAGCGGAAGTCAACACCAGTCGAGAAAGAGGGAGGAAGAGAGAGAAAGGGAGCATCGTCCATAACTGTCTGGGTAGCAGATGGAGAAGGTGGAGATGAAGGAACAGCGACAATTTCAGGAGATGGGTGAAGCGACATGCACAGGAAAATCAGAGGAGGAGCGGACACTAGGGATACGACGCGGCAAGAAGCTTACCATTAGGCACGAGCAGAACCCGGGTCGGTTCTCCCAACTACTTAGCGCTGCCTCAGACGGCTTGCGCTGCTTCTCTTCCTGGCTGACGGCATTCTGTAGGAGAGAATAAACAGACTGGATATCCGCCGGTGTGAGCGCCATACCTTATGGCAGACAACAAGTGCGGGCGAGAATCCCCAGGCCACTGCTCTCTCTCTCTCTCTCTCTCTCTCTCTCTCTCTCTCTCTCTCTCTCTCTCTCTCTCTCTCTCTCTCTCTCTCTCTCTCT